TATTATTTCTATTTAATATAGATTTTATATCCTTGTTGGAAAGAATAGAGTTATATACAATGCTTGAATAATCACAAGTGAAATGTTATACCTACCATTCTTCTAATATATCTTACAATTATGTAAGAAATTAAAAGAGGAAATCTGTTTCTCACTCTGCTTTTCAAAATTGTTCACAATAATTCGATGATACTTAAATTAGGTGATTGCTAATCAGGAAAGATGTTGAAATTTTGAAGAACAAAATAAGGCAATTTAGAAAAATAGAGTGAAAAGCAAATTTCCTTTCCTAATATTACTTATATAAGCAAAGATGCTAAAAGAATAATATAACGTTCTTTTGGCAACTATTCAAATACTGTATGATTCTATTCCAACAAGAATAGAATCTGTATTAAAAGTAACTACAGGCCAATCTTTTATTAATAAAAGCAAGTAGTATATTGCAATTGCTCACATTTTGTCCATCCCCTATGTACAACAGGAGATTCAGAATGCTGTTCAAATTGGTTTAAATAAATTTGATCGGATGTAAGTGGATTAGATGATAATTTGGAACAGACAGAACTGTTTCGTTATATTTGCGTAATCTTCCTAACCAATGAGATCGAAGAAAGAAAAAAAAAAGAGAAAAGACCTTTTGCTTTCTGCGACGTGGAAAGTATTTATACGCGGACGTTACTTATTCTTATTCCGTGCACATGCCGTTATCCTGAGCCCTGCCACCAGGGACAATGCCATTGCCATAGTGAAACAGTGAAAGTATGGTCATTTTGCCCTCGCTGTCGTACGCATTTCTGCTCTTTCCCACTCATGCTGCTCGCACGCATGCACAAGATGACACACGCATCGACATTTCGCGCTATCGCGATAGTCTCGTTTTGAATGTCACTTCATGTGTTCTATTGAAGCGCTCTCCACTTGCAACGCAGCGGCGAACTCGGCGAAATTGCTTCTGCATTTGACTGCCTCAAAGATGAGAGGTAATATCTTCCGCTCGCGTGGTTTTCTTCGTTTTACGATTTGCAATAAGTTAATTGTGTTACATATTTGTCGCAAACCATGATTTTTTTCAATTCTCGGTTATTAACTCTCTTCGTAGCGGAATGAAATAACGTTAACAATTTTCAGCACGATGCGGATCCTTTTAAAGAGCATCATATGCCTTCTGTCAGTGGTTAACGCGAGGACTGCGATAATGCCGCCACCGTGGGCCGATCCCTCGAGCAACCCCTGCGCTGCACAACCACGCGGCTGGCTGCTGCTTTATTGGCCAGCAGATGGGAAATGCTACAAAATATTCCAGGTACTAATCTTCTTTTTCTCACGATTTACGCCTCTATAAATTGCAATAGATTTATGGTATGCCACGGCTGTTCTAAAAGACTCATTTACGTATATTTCTACCAATATAGATTAATTTGATTAACTATCTATATTAGCCTGCAATGTTAAGATGGTAAACAATAATATAATTTATTATTCTACGATGACATATTTAACAGAACGTTTCGAGCTTTACTTAGCCCTCCTCAGCCGTATGTAAATTCAAATTACTTTCTATATTTTAATAAAATTTGAAATAATTATCTCACTTTCTATTATGATCTTTCGTTTTGCTGTACAAATACACCATAATGCTCCTGAATTGACAGTCATAAAATCAAGGTATAAATCCAGTTTCTTGAAAGCCAATTCTTAAAGTTAAGAGATTAAAGTTAATTTACATTGGTAAAAATTGACATTAAAGGAATCATTTACTTCTAATGAGGGGAGGGAATGATATTGGGGGACATCGATTTTGATCAAACTTAAAGCGCGTTCCGTTTTTACGTTCATACGCTATAAGTATATATCAGTTCATCCATATTGTCTATTTATTAAACAAGGATAAATGATGCTTACAAGCGTTGTAAACGAAAAATGGGACATATCCTTTGTGAGGATACAGTGCGTATCCCCAGCAACTGATATGTGACACAAGTAGTAAGACACTAATAAAAAATAAGCAAAAAAATCGAAATTATAAATTTTACAATTGCTCAAATTTCTTAATATTTGCTCCGCAAACCATCCAGTAATCCGGGAAATGAGCCGAAGTAGTTAGAGAGTTAATTGGACTGAGCAAAGTTCTAGCATCAGCCAGTTACTTACAGGTGGTCAGTCCATATTCTGATTTTTTTTTCGTTAAATTTATTTTCTACCGTAGTCGAATAATTTATGAATGTAACAAAGAAGATTAATGATAATTAAATATTATACGTATATAATATTTAATTATCATTAATCTTCTTACATTCATAAATTATTTTAACCCTTAATACCCACAAAGGGTTAGTGTAACCCTCCCATTTTCATAGTTCAGACGTTTTTTTTCGATCCTTTTTCACTTATTGCAAAATATCTTTTGTGCTACGACATTTTAAACTTTTTAACTCAAAAATTCTTTTTTTCAGTCTTCAAACGACAGATTTAAAAAATATAGTTAAAATCGATGCACTACAATCTGAGATATAAGCAAAAGAAAATGCTGGATTACAAATATCCGGATGTGGATAGATAGGGACTTTTTTAAGATGTGGGTACTGAGGGTTAATTATCTAAAAAATTACTCGTGCAATAGAATGTGCGTAAGTACAGTAGCACATTACATTTATAATTTTGATTTTCTCGCTTATTTTTTAGTAGTACATCTTATGACACACGTCGGTCGTTGAGGATAGGCCATATCCTTACCAATTTAATCTTAACGTGATGTTACGATCCCCTCATGAGTCACATTTATGACCTTTCATATGTATGACAGATCGGCGCCCCATGCCCGGAAACCATGGAACTGGGTCCAGCAGCCGGTAACGGAACAATTGCTGAATGTAGATGTCCTCCAGGAACCGCTCAATCGCCCAGAGACGCGTTGTGCCATCCGATATTCACGAGAGCATCCTGCTCCAAGGGTCAATTCTTTGCACCTGTACCCGACGCGCTTGATAAATTAGCGTAACAAAAACAGTCTCTCTTTAATCTCGTTCGTAACCGACTGGAAACACCTATATATATTCATGATGGTCCTGTTTAGTACGAAACAACGATGGGGAATCTGTCGTGATCCCGAAATCTGCAAAGAGCAAGGTGAGATTTACTGGCCCAAGGACGGCAAGTGCTATCCGAAGCTCAGCAGAGGCCCATGTCCACGTGGCGAACTTCTTGTCACAGGTGAGGACGGTCTAACGATTTGTTCATGTTCGGCAAGTGGCGAATTGGCCAGATATTATTGGCTAGGAAATGGCGGTGGTTGCCACGAACACTATATCAAAGGTCCTTGTTCGGAGCCAGGAGAATTGTTTCTGCCGGGTGGAACGTGCGGTTGCCACCCTCAATTACCTCACTATCACGAACCGAGCGGGATGTGCTATCAGTTAGGTAAAACATTTCATAATCGAATAATAGAACCTAATAATTTAAAATGTAAAAATGAAAATTCGATGTAATAATGAAATTGAAAAAATGGAAACGAAGAACACCATCTTCTGATTTAACATAAATTCCTTTATGCCTTTAAAATTTATGTCTAAAATTATTGTATAAATATGAATCTTTTTTTCATTAAATTCTTCAAATTTTTCATGAAATTAATTTTATAAAATATTTGTTAATTATATAATTAACATTGTTATAATAGATTCAAAAGATAAAGATAAATTCTTATTGAATTTTTACACACACTTGTGATCGGCATGCACTAACTTATTCCTTCAATTTAATTTTTAAGTCTTCGTCCTTAGTAAAATATTTTTTAATTTATAATGTGAATTATCAGACAGCGTTGGTCCGTGTCCACAAGGACATCACTTTACGGTGACAGTGGACGTCAGATCATCGCATGAAGATATTGTACGAGCTAGATGTGTTTGCAAATCGGGCCATATATTATATAAAGACGGATTCTGCTATCGATTGCATACGAGGGGACCCTGCGAGAGCGGCTATATGTTGATAAATTCGTCAACCTGCATTCCCGTGCCATGCAAACGCGGTAGACTATACTTTCCTCAGGAGAAGACATGCTACAAGATTGGTACAAGAGGACCGTGTCCGAACGGGCAGATAGTGTTGTACGATTATAACGTGAGACCGTCCCTCGATGGGATCAGTTACAATGGCGTGTGTGGATGTACCAATACTATGAGAGACGCTGGCAAGTGCAAAAAGAATGATAACGATGATTGCGAGAACAGGCCAGGAATGGTGATGATCAAGAAAACCTGTTATAAGTTGTATACACAAGGCCCCTGTATCGAGGGGGAATGGTTAGTCGCTCAGAGAATACCGAAAAATAATCGGTATGTGTTATGGCAACCAGAAGAATTGCGATTGAAAACTAGATGCGAATGTCGACCTGGTTACAAGAGGATTGTCCCGAACTCTGGTGAGGCTATGGAGGAGTTAGAGAATAATAATCTGATCTCACCAAATAGTTGCCAACCACCAGCGGTAAGCTTAGCAAGATTTCTCAACGATAATATTAAATCAATGGTGATTTGAATAGCTCAATAGCTTATAAATTGCTGCACAGTGATCGCAGCGCTGCGCGTCCTTTATAGAACTGTTAGATAAAACATGATTTTTTTTTAAACTAGAATTAGTCATTTTTTATAGTTTTTTGGATACTGAGTATGAATGCGTTTTCCAAATTGCTCCACCATGTCACAATTTTGAAAAATTTGCAATTTAATTTGCAAAAAGGACTACTTTTACGCACAAAAAAAATATTTTATTGAATTAACTGGAATTTTGGTGGAAAATGAACGATCCAGAATTCTGACCATGTTTACTATAAAATTCTGAATAAATCTATTAGAATTTTAGTAGATTTAACCAAGAAAATTCTGAATGTTGGTTATCTCAACTAGATTTCTAGTAGATTTAACTAGAATTCTGGATTATTTATTTTCCATCAGAATTCCAGTTAATTCAATCAAACATTTTTCTCCGTGGTGTATTTTGTCATATTATAACGACGATCTATGATGTAATGGAAAAGTTTTATTGTAGTCAAAATTAAATATTTTATTAGGATTTTGTCTCCAAAAAAATTCTTTAATGTCGGCTATGGTTAATAAGATATTCATTATAAATACTACGTATTATAAAATAGGGGTCTATTATAAAAAAGCTGTAAATTAAGTCATTGATGATTTAACAAATAGCTCTTTCGACTATATTTATCCGAATATATGAATATGAATCCGATGTCAAAATTGACAAATTCAAGATGATTCAATATGATGAACGTCAAAACTTAAAAAATGTCCGAATTCTTACAAAATGTACAAAAAATTAATTTGAAAAGACAGGCAAATGGGAGTAAACTGCGCGGTTAAAGGTGCGAAATTAAACTATATATATTCTAAAATTTTACTGTTTACATAATATTCGGACGATTTGACTGTCTTTCGGTCATTTTCAACGAATTGATAACATACTTAAGGAGGTTCTCGCGCTACTTGCTAGTCAATAGACAATTTATTCATAATATTATGTAAAACAATTAAAATAATGGAATAAAAAGATTATTAACAATATCTTATGCCATTATACATAATTATTGTTAATTTTATATGTTACTAAATATTTTAAAAATGACAAAATACAAATTGTAAGATGCTTATTTGAGGTACATGCATCGTCCATTTAACATATATTCTAGCTTTTTTCATTGAAGAATATAAATTTCTTGTAAACTGTACGTTCAATTTAAATGAAACTTTACGAGAGAAACAAACTTAAGTGTTTACTTTATAATTATAACGATTTTTAAATTGCTATCTCATACGCAAGTGTCTCAATTTAAAAGAGAGTAACTGTAGAATAAGGTTATACTTTCAACTTGTAATGTCAAATTCTATAAATTTATAATTAAATATCATCAAAATGGTACGGCAAAAGTTAATGAAATTTTTTTCTAGATATTATTGATATTAACTTTTGTATTACATGCATATTATAAACTTGTCTTATATTTTATCAAACGCGAGAACCTCTTTAAACATGACACTATTTTTAGACATAAATTTTTCGCAAATTTCCTCTTCGATCGCATCATGCTGAACTACTCTTCTCAATTCCTGTTCGAGGAGTGTTGTCGCTTATTATCACATTATTAATTTAAAGTTGTGTTAAAATAATATGCGTTAAACTAAGTTTCTTGGACCACGTTACGACAACACTTCTTCAACAGGAATTGAGAAGAATAGTTCAGCATAATGCGACCGAAGAGGAAATATTGCGAAAAATTTATGTCTAAAAATAGCATCACGTTTAAGTATGTTATCAATTCTTTGAAAATTACTGGAAGACAGTCGAAATGTCCGAATATTATGGTGTACATAGTAAAATTTTAGAATATATAGTTTTACAGCGAACCTTTAACCACGCAGTTTATTCTCATTTGCCTGTCTTTTAAAATTAATTTTTTGTTAAAGAATTTTTTGTTAGAGAATACATTATAATTACCTATTTTAAATCTGTTAGTTTTTCACGAAATTGACAAATTTAAAAATAAAAGATATTTATACATTTTAAATATCTTTCATTTTTAAAGTCAATTTTGTATACAGCAGCCTAAAAACTCTTATATTTAACTAAACATAATTGAAAGCTATTTGGTAAATCATTAATGACCTAATTCACCTTTCTGTAACAAACTCCATATTAACTACGAATATTTTATTAACCATAACTGACACTAAAAAATCCTTTCGAGGATTGACAATCCAAACAACATTAATTTTGATTATAATAAAACTTTTCTAGCACATCATATATTGTTATAATACAACAAAATATAAAAATACCCATTTTTTACAACTTTAAATGTAAATTTTTTTTAATTGTAACGTGATGAACAATTTGAGAACCAGGTTTGTATTCAGCATTCAAAAAGACTATGGAAAATGACTAGTCTCAAATTAGTATTTTTTTTTGTCGAACAGTATAATTCATAAGAATCATCGAATTATATTAATTTATTTTTTGTCTAGTGAAAAACGTGCATGATGTATTGAATTTTTCAATTAAAAAACTATAATTAATTTTATTTTGTACACAATATACGAATTATTTAGTTTTATCTTATATAGTTAAGCAAAGTTTTATTTATTGCATCTCATATTTTAAATTTTAAACATTGTAAATATCTTAAGAATTTTAAGCACGACCATATATGTGAATACATCAAATACGATAAAGCCAAGATCGGCCAAGGTCACATTTTTTGATGTTACAAATAATACATTTTATATATTGTTTTATTAAATCAATTTATTCCAGACATAATTGCGAACCGATAACATTCGGATTCAACACAATCATTTTGAAATGCTAATAATCCTCCTTAAATTAAATTAGAAAGAAAGAAAGAAAGAAATCCTGGCTGAGATAATTTTTTTTTCGCAATAAATTTCTTACTTTCTTCCTTTCTTTCTTTCTAATTCAATCTAGGGGGAATTATTAGCGTTTCAGAATGATTGTATTGAATCCGAATATTATCGGCTCGCAATTATATTTGGAATAAATTGATTTATTCCAATTAATAAAAAAATATATAATATATTATTTGTAACATCCAAAATGTGACTGATCTTGGCTTTCGTTATCGTATTGTAAATATCATTTATGTATTTACAAAAACTAAAGTTACTTATGAAAGATATGAGAGACAAGTGCCAATTTTTTCTTGAAAGAAGTTGTAAATAAATAAAGATGTACTTACTCATTTTTATGCTGTAAATCACATATTTGTTTTTGCACCGCTTCCTTTTGTTGATCCTTATGCGTTAATTCCCGTTCCAATGCAGCAATCTTTTCTGTCTTTTCGTCCAATACTATCTAAAAATAATTAAAAAAATATATATTCGATTTTATAAATCATTACAATAGCTAATTATTAAAAGATTAATTTGTTACAATATTCTAATTACCAATAACCGATCTTTTTCTTGATCCAAGAGCGTCATGCTTGAGCGCAGAGTATTTATTTCTTGTTTCAGTTCCTTGATTTGATCGTTTAACTGTAGCTGTTGCTGCTCCATATTTCTGTTGTGATCCACAGCCTTGTTCAATTCCGATTCTGTTTGCGATAGTTGACCCTGAGCATCTCCAAGCGCTTGATCCGTTTGATCTTGTAACGTTCTGCAATAGATAATTTAGAAGATTAAGATTACATTTGATTTTTACAAATAAAATCTAATTTATATTACCGTAGTTGGAAATATTGCGTTCGTTGCGCCATTAATTCCTGCTTTGTACGGCGCAGTTCCTCTTGTACATCGCCTAACTGATCCTCGAGATCGCTCATTGTAGCTCTTCTTGTGCCCCGAGTCACCAACAGATCTTGTCGTTCTTTTTCTATATGTTTCAAGCGATTCTCCGCCTCGATTAAATTTTCCTTAAGTCGAAGTTGTTCACTTTTGTGCGTATCCGACATTATCTATATCCAAATATCATCCAATCATGCATTTACAATATATTGCCATAGCCACAATGCGTTAGCAAGAAATAGTATAAGTCAGGATTAATTATGCTAATCACACATAGTTATCAAACAGATATAATTAGCAAAAGTACGAATGTTAAGATTCGCGTATTATTTAGTATCTACATTAAGATTAAAATATATTGGAAAAAATCAACAAAAAATAGAAACATGAAGTTAACTTATAATGATCTCCATTTTCTACCTCAAGTTTCTCCCGTAACGCATCGCGTTCGTCTATCAGTCGTTCAACATCCGCTCTGGCTGTATCTCGCTCCCGTTCAAGACGTTCAAGCATCTGTATAAATTGAAATTGAAATAGGAATAAGACATATACTGGGTGTCTCATTTTAACGACTTCAAATATCTTTTGAACAGTGCATTTTAGAGAAAAATATTTCAAAGGTTTTGCGATTTCTCTCTCGAGGATAACATAAGATAGTACCTTTGGTTTTATCTTGGATGGCGTTGTCAGAATCAGGGCAAGGTGATTGAAATTTTTAAATTAAATCCTCCATTTTTCATTATATATTCTTATAGCTTACTTTGAGAGCTTTTCAAAGCACTATAATGGAATAACTTTTTATTAAGTACTTTTCAAGTTATAACTTATAATTAAAAAGCTCTCGAGATAAGCTACAAGAATATGTAATGAAAAATGGAGGATTCTATTTAAAAAATTCAAAATGACCTTGTCCTAACTTTGCTAATGATATCCAAGATCAAATCAATAGTACCATCTTATATCCCCTTCAAAATCACAAAATTTTCTTAACTGTCGGAAGTCTACACACCTTGCACGCACACACGCACATATACATATATATAATATAATCTTATTTGAAAATCTTTACTTTTGTCGTGTTAACGTCTCCAGTAGATACTGGCGAGCCAGAAGCACAGGTACAAATACGAATGGGTTTGCACAAACTGCAGGATCTGCAAGGAATACACATCTGTCTCTGCTGATTCTTGTAAGTTTGCAATTGTGCTTCTAGATCTTTTTTCTTATGACACAGTTCTTCCTTCTCCCGATGTGCTTTGTTTAAAGCTTGTTCCTTACCACTTAATTCACGTTTTAATTCACAAATTTGTGTCCACAAATCAGCCTGTAATTTACAAGTAATAAAAATTTAACTTTTTATACAAGCTCATAAAATTATTTTAAATATTTAATATTTACGTTATCTTTGTCAGATGTTCTACGTTGTTCGTCCAGACAATTGATATATTCCTTTCTATAATGATCTCGTTCCATTTCCAATCGCTGAATTGTCTGTTGAAGCTGCAAAATAAATCTCTTTTTCTAATATTATATATTAAAAAATAATTAAAAATATTTAAGTAAGCTCTTTCGACTCACAGATGCAATTTTTAAATCTGCTTCATCAATACATTTTTGCATATCAAAGCCACTTGTATTTTTTATAATTTCTTTATCGTTAGTCGCTATCTGATGATCGATTACATCATGTTTTTCATTTCTGTTATTTTTTAATGCTAAAAAGGATAAATAATTCTTAATATATTTCTTTTTCATATAATTTTTTTTAAATAAACGATCCATTAAAATTTATAATTAACATTTTCCTGGGCTGTATTTCAAAATCAATTTACTATTTTAATACCATTTTTTTTCTTTGATGTTTTCATCCCTTTATTCTGATCATTCTTTTCTCTCTTTTCTTTTGCTTGCGTCTGTTCATTCCCTCCATTATTTTGCCCAATATTTTTTTTATGTATATGTTCTTCTAATATTTTATTAGTAAATTGCAACTGATTAATATCTTGTTTTTGGCAATCATTTTCTTTAGTCAGTCTTTCCATATTTACACTTTTTTCTGCAATATTATGTTAAACTTTCACCTTCGACACAAGTAGCCCAGGCTGTTAAAAGGAAAAATATAAAAAAAAAATGAACAATTTTAACATACCAATAACTGTTAGTTGATTGATCTTATCAGACATTTGTTTCTTTTCATCCAATGTACATTCTAGAGTACGTTGAATATTACGTTTTTCAAGTCTACATGCTTCTAGATCTGCTCTTAACTCTTGTACCTCTCTACGTTCTACAGTTAACTCGCGTTCCAAGACATGCACTTGTGTCATGATATTCTCTAACTTCTCCTAAACAAGCATAAGAGTGTAAAAACAAAAAAATTATACTGAAAATATACATTAATGCAATCGTAATTACTTGGAGCCTACAAACTCTTCTGTTATTCTCTTTAACTGCAGAATTGCAGTCGGCTTCTACAGCTAATGCAACGTGATCTATATCTCGTAATTCTTTCTCTAGTTCTTCATTTCGTGTTGCTAGTTTCATTGCCTGAGACATAGCATCATGTTGCTTATTTAGAGATTCTGCATCATTCAAGAAAAATTGAGTGTGTGAAATGAATGTCTTTATAATTTTATGATCAAATAATTATGTTGAAAATAAATACTGTAGGAATCTCTCTACTCTACTAAATTCCTTACCTTTTAGCTGTTGTTCCAGTTCCAATTTGACTTGTTGGAGAACCTTTACTTCATTAATCTCTGTAGCATCATGAGTAGCACCAGATTTTTTTTTGCAAGTGCAGTCCTTGCTAATTGCAGAATAAGAACGACCACCTTCCAACATTTTTCTCAGTCGCATTATTTCTTTTTCCTTTGTGGCCAACTATAAAAGATTCTTCATTTTATAACATATTAATATATTTATATATATAACCTCTGTATGCAATCATATTTTTACTCTTCATCTGGATTTTTATCAGCCAAATTTTTTTTTACTATTTTAGGTTTTAAAAAAAATACAAAAAATTTCAGGGTTACTTTTCAATACCTTTTCTTCAACAAAATCTCTGCTGACAAAATATTTTAGGAGAGGAAACTGGAGTCTGCCCCCTTTTTTTATGTCGGAGATATCTGAGAGTAAAATCTCACTTGTGTATAAAAGAACATTCAGATCGCAAAAAAGGACTAAAAATCAATTTTCCATTCCTAATACCAATTGCATATGTACGCTTCTGTCAGATTTAAGTTTTTCTGAAATGTGTACTGTATACTACTTTAGTTTAGAGAAATTAAAATCTAGTCACAATATCTAAAACCATCAACCAAAACAGATAATTGTTTATTTCACGATGTTACTAAAATTATTCAATACATACAGGGCCATATATATATACAAATCTATTTTAGCACCAGAATACCAGATTATTTCTCTAGAATGGAAATGTGAAAAATAAAAAATTTTTTTATTAAATTCAATGGTAAAAATTCTCACTTTTCATATTTTCATTCTGGTGAAAAAATGATTAAGTGGCATTTTGACTAAAAATGTTAAAAAAAAATTATTTAAAACCATATTTAAAAGATTGTAAATACAAATTAACAAGAGCAACAAAACTTCTTTTGCATAAAGACACCTTATGTATCAATGGCAGCCTTAGTGTATATTTATTTCATAATTTGTTAATAACAGTAACACACATTTAAAAAAAATATTGTTACCATGCGTCAATAATTCTTAGCATGCAGAGAAATGACTTTGTTAACATAATATTTTCATTCTTTTTTAGAAACTATTGATGACATATTCAAGAAACACATGCATAAATATTGATGCTTAGTATACCTGTTTTTCAAAGGTTTCTATGGTATCGGTTTGCAATAAAAGCTCCTCTCGTAATTTTGTTACCTCTTGATTTAAGCAATTCATTTTGTGATCCGCCATACTTATTACATCTATTATCTTAGGCTCCACGCTACTTAATTTTGGTAGTGAACTGTTGTCCTTTGCCCTTGGCATTGGCTCAGTTTCCAAGACTGGCCTTCGAAGAGGAAAGCAAGGACGTTTCTTGGCAGCTAAAAAGTTTCGTAAAGATATATATATATATATATATCGCATGATTTAAAAATTGATATTATAATGATACTTTGTCGACATTTGCAGCAAAATAGTAAAATAGCAACTTACTAAGACCAACATTAATAATAGTTGGTTTTAGGCATTTGCCTTGAAGTTCTAATATCTTTTTAGATTTGGCAGCAGACTCCGCCTCTAGCTCCTTTATTTTATGTATGTTTCGTGAGGATGCCAATTGTAGATCATTGCATTCACATTCTAACTTGTATATCTGCCTTTTAAAATCCTTGACTTGCTTCTGATGCGCCTCCTTAGTTTCTATCACATCTGAATAAAGTTGGTTGCATTCTCGCACCAATCTCACGTTATCACACTTGTAAGGATCAACAGACAATTGCAAATGGCTGCATGCCTACCGGTGATACCGTAAAATTAGATTGTACATCAAAAATATTCTTTCATAGGCCTTCTACAATAAACCGCAAGTCAAAACGTCAGAAGTCTTAACCAGTCTTAACCAAGTCGTTCAAGTTGGCTATTGGCCAACTTCACCGATTATGATTTAAGATCGCTTAGAACTTCTGACTTGCGGTTTATTGTAGAAGGTCTATTATACTTAATGAAAAATTATTAACGGTATGATTCACTATTCACAATTAGCGCGTTATTTGTCAGGTAACGTTAAGACATTCTACAATTGAGTTGCAAGCCCTAAGTGTAAGAAATTAACCAATCATAATTGATTATTTTGTCTCGTATTCAATTGTGATTGGCTAATTTATGGTTTATGACTTGCGACCTTATTGTAGAACAGGCATAAAAGATTGCATTCTTTTAGTATTAGCTTTTGCTTGAAGTTAGACAAATGAAACTGTATTCAAATGTTTCTTTTTACAAGTCTTTTTACGACTCCACAGGAGTCTGAATATTGTCACAAATATGTATAGAATGGCATATCCCGCATACCTCGATGTTCTCCTGAGCAACGGCTTTAAAATGTTTTAGACTGTCTGTAGTTTGAATAAGATCGACTAACAAGGCCTCTATCAGAGGTAGAGCATCCAACGACAGCGTCTGCTTGTACCCCAGGTTGTCCAGGTGTTTTCTAACTGTTCGGTACCTCGCAGTAATGTTGCATTCTACATCCCCGTTCATTCTCGCGAAATACACAATTGACAAAACGGTCCGCGTACAAATTGTACAATTATTACAACAGTTTGAACTCTAGTACCTTCATAACAGTTGTAAGACGTAACCTCACATATTTCATATATTGTTATTGTAATCAAATAAATATTACAAATATCTCATGGTTTTCTACTAAGCACAAAAATCCATATTGTTGTGTAACATTACAATTGTACATAATAAACAATAACTGTTCCATAAAATCAATACCGATCGTTCAAATCTTGCGATCTTTTCCTTTCATGAGTAATCTAAATATATTCTCATTATTAATCGTAGTCCTGATATAGCTTTAATATACACTTATTTTATTAGAAAACATCAAAAAGATTTTATTCATTCAAAGTTACAATTTTTCTTATCGATAAACGTTTTTGATCATTTTTTTGTAAACTGTTTGAAACTTGTAAAATATTTCCTAAATACCTAGTGAATTTTCCCTTGAAATTAATAGCGTTTTCGGCCCGATCGGGTTTGCACCAACCTGGGTTGGATTAATCTTTCCTATTGGTTGACGTCACCCGCTCTACCAATAGGAGAGCACAAAACGCCATTAATCCAACCTACGTTGGTGCAAACCTGGCCGGGCCGAAAACGCTATAAGTTAGTAACGGGGAGGTCGCTACTGTGCAATACTTCCGCGACATCTAACCTCAGCAGGTGCTGACATCTGACAGTTTTGCTGGATTCACACTGGATCCGACTAAAGTCCCTCTAGGGTTGCGTTTGGAAACATCACCCGAGTACTCCCGCGTATCGTATTATCTTTAGGATCCCCTTAAAGGTGAATTTCGGAAGGGCAAAAGCAACGTAAACGGGTGGATAGCGCATTCATAACTCAAAATCAAAAGTGATTATCTTCCGTGAAATGTGACGAAGTAATGGCAGTTCAACCGTGTTATTAGATCTTCTGAAAAAAAAATGAGAGGATGATGCAACACCCAACACGTGTGCAACGTTTCTTAGGCCCAGTTTCACATAACTCACGGTTAATTCTTAACCGAGGTTCAACTTGTTTCTCATCTCTTTCCAATTCTAGAATTGGAAAGAGATAATGAATAAGTTGAACCTCGGTTAAGAGTTATCCGTGAATTGTGAAACTGGGCCTAAGTTAACCACTTAGCGATACTCGATAACCTGTTAAGACTCCTATAAGGCCCAGTTTCACAACTGACGGTTAACTCTTAACCGAGGTTCAACTTATTCATTATCTCTTTTAAATTCTAGAATTGGAAAAAGATGAAAAATAAGTTGAACCTCGGTTAAGTGTTAACCGTTAGTTGTGAAACTGGGTCTTAGCCTCTAGACGCACCCTTATATACCACGTTTGTAGGCTCTTTAATAACGCACCGAATTAATATAATTAGCACTCATACAGGGTACTATAGTATTGATATTTCTTTATTTAAGACATCATTCTACATGGTGTCAATTTTTCGTCATATTGAACTATTTCTTTGACGCCATGACGACAAACGATGGTTTTGATGTCATAATGGCTTGCACTTAACGCTGCAAACACTTCATTGGCCAATCAGAAGAAAGAATTTTACGAATTGACCAATCAAAGAATGCTTCAAAGCATTTGCTTTGAAGTGGATCGCACCCATTGACATCACTTTGACTGATTGTGAGTCATTTTCACTGGGTTAGATATAATCGATATCATTGTATTATCTTCAGGGCTCTATCCTTGAAAAGAAACGTATACGAAAGTCTAGGGAAATACTATAGTATATGTAACGTATACTGTAGCATTTCTCTAGACTTTCGTATACGTTTCTTTTCAAGAATAGAGCCCCAGATGTTATCGGATATATTTTTCGAATATAAGCTCTTGAAGAGTTCTTACTGATAACATAAGCTCATTAGGTTGCAATAATACATAGGCTGCGAAAACACTCGAGCGAGATTCCTAATCATTCATTTTGTGAGCGTGGAGGCTATTAACGAAACACGTCCAAGCATGTCTTTTAAAGATCTAAAAGTGGAACGCGTCGATGGTGAGTTGGCGACCACATTATTAAAATGGTATCCACTTCACAAACGTGGCTTCGTTAAAATCGGTCAGAAAAAATGGTTCCTGCCATACAGATACGTCGAGAAGGGTGACAGTATATATAATTTTGAAATTCGTCCGGATGATACATGGATTTTTTCGTATCCTAGATCAGGTAAATTATTTTCATTGTGTGTGTTCAGATTTACCGTATAGGTATTACCGTATTTTACAATTTTTTACATTTTCTCCGTTTTTGACAACGGGTATAAGAAAAATACAATATATTTGTCGTATGTAAACGAAAATTTTAAAGCTTATATTCGGAAAAAAATTTGAATTCAAAAGAATTTGATGGTTATATATAATAGAGCAGGAATTATGACAAAGATATTGTGTCATTGCAATTAAAAATTTATAATATTCTATTAACGAAATTTATATATCAGAAAATTGTTATTAATTAATAAGACATTGAATAACATAACGTAAAATAATAATACTAAATACAAATATGCATACCAATTGAAATGATTTTTATTAATGTTGCGTAAACATATATACAGCCTTGCAAATTGTACATGTTATTACATTAATTGCTTCGTATATGAGAAAAATTATAAGTAATATTAAATTTTATTTTTAAGCAAAAACATTTCTAAAACTATCAGGTATTCAATGTACTGAAATTTAAAAAATTAATTTTTTTAATTATTGTAATTTCTTTTAGTTTATAAATCCTTAAGGGGATGCTGGAGCGTCCTGTTTTACCAATGAAGTATGATTAATTTTCCTTGACTCGCGCGTTTCTCTTAATTGCACTTACGGATTGGAAAGTCCTTCTCCACAATTAAAGTATCGACAACAACACAGGCTGCAAACTACAATTTAATACGAAAAATGAAAGAAAATTTAAGACTTACAGTTTTGTTATCGGCTTCTGTAGTCGACATATCACAATATGTGCTGCATACAAGAGTTTCAGATTTTACTCGTTTAAAATAAGTAGCTTGCAGCCTACAGAAAACTTCGAAAAACAATACTGTGCCTGTAAAAATGAGCTAGGAGCTTTAGTATAAGAGGAAAGAGTCGACAAAAATTTCGTTTGTATGCTACGAATAAAGTTGACGTGAAGCCATGACACCGAGCACTATTTTAGTTGATCTCTTTCTAAAGCGTTTTCGGCCCGATCGGGTTTGCACCAACCTGGGTTGGATTAAAGGCGTTGCAATATATTAGATAAGGACAGATGAATGCGTTTGAGCGAGATACAACGATAAATAATAAGTATAAGAAATGAACGAAAGATGTCACTACTGTCGAATTTGGAATTTAAAAAAGTCTGTACTATCGACCTTGATTAACTTCGACCATCACTCCAGCATCCCCTTAAGGAGATGAGGACGTCTTGTGCTGTCTGAGAAATGAATCCTTTCCAATCCCAATGCATTTTTATTTATTTATAGGAATTGCATGAAGCACATTTCTATATTTTTTAATCTAAAAAGAGTTTCAGTTTGTTAAGTGTATATTGTTCAATTCACAATTCTGAATAAGAAATGTAGATTTTCAATTTAATTGAATCTAAAAAAATAAAAATGGACCATAAATGGATATAAATGCTACTAAAGTATACATACGGATGATATATACAAATGGATTAAAATTTCAGTCCATTTTAATCCATTCTTGTTTACTGGGTCATGTTATTGTTAAAAATATTAACTAAATTTACATATTGTATTGATTAGGTACGACGATGACGCAGGAACTAATATGGCTGGTGGCGAACGACATGAATTTTGACAAGGCACAGCGAAGATATTTAGTAGAGAGATTTCCCTTTTTAGAGTATAGTATTATATATATATATATATACATATATACACATACACACACGCGCGCGCGCGCACACGCCACGCATGTATAAGGGTGATTCAAAACAATTATTCGTCTTGGAAATACCGTTCAATAGAATAAATTTAAAGAATAAATAGAATAAAGCAAGTAAGTACAATCGAAAAAATCTTTAAAAACCGTAATTTTTACAGTTTCGGTTTTGTTTGTTTTGATAAAAAAAACCGTAACTGAAACCCGA